AAAGCGTCGCTGAACTGTAGTTGTCGAGAAGGCTAATAGCACCTGCGTGATATGTAGAGCTATCAGGATCTGGGTACAGGAATCCGCTATGAGATGAGACTCCACGAAACGCCTGGCAGATTGAAGTCACCAAAAATGAATATCTCATCAACTGGAGTGGCACTTTCGACAACTGTGAAAACTGACCGACAGTGAGTATCGATGAGTTCTTTGTCGCAGACTCGATCACGTGGAATGTACAGAGCGCATAGAAATAGTGTGCGATCACCCAGATTGATGGCTGTCCAAACGTGCTCCACATAGATCCATGAATCGTTCTCGATGGCCTTTGCCTCCAACCCGCTACGGACAGCTACAAGGACACCCACCAGTAGATTTACGGCTGTTGTTAGGATTCCGATCGCAACGAAAGACCTCGTAGTCAGGACCGAAGACTTGACTGGAAAGCGCTCGATAATCGAGCCACGTTTCGCACAGGACAATTATATCGTAGCAACGATCCGATACAGCTAGGCGGTACTTTTCAACATCAGAATTCATTCCACCGGCGTTTTGGTAGAAGATCACGACGTCCTGCTTGCGGCAAGGAATCGATACATCAGGCAATAACTGACCATCATCAAGTCTCATTGGATACTCGCCATAGTGAGTGGGTTGGAGACCCCCTCTCCACATCCGACAGCAGGTCCGGAACGACTATAATGAAAGAAGGCTGCTGATGGCAGGACTGAGACGGAGGGATTGGGGTCTTCCGTTGGGGCTTTCTACGGCGTGTTCCGAGTTTCCAGGATTGGGAGTTATAGAGGCATCATCACAATGACTAACATAGTCAGAATTGCTGAAAATTTGATCGGCATCGGGCAGTGAATAGTCAATATGTTGATTTACTTGCTTGTAGAGGCAAGGTGGAAGACTCCTGATTCATATCCAGCCACAGGTCCAGGACGACTATGCTGAAGAGATCCCGAAGATGAATTAGGATTGTTCGAACAGTAAAGCGGATGTTGTGAATGAGCAGTATCAGAAGTGCTTCTCAACAGGAAACAGCCGGCAGGTGCTTGAAGCGTTGCACTGGAACACGGAAACTGATCAGGCCTGAAGACGATGCTTGGGAGACCCCACCACCGAACTCGACCGCAGGGCCAGAACGACTCCGATGGCAGGAAATAGAACGACTTTGAAGGCGGGAAACAGGTAGCGCGACTGAATTGAGTGGTTCGAGGTCTCCCATAATGCGACAGGCAGTGCGTTCTGGTCTACAGCGCTCCAATTCACAACGCAAAATCCAATTCTGAATCAGCAGACTGGGTCTAGTCCGGAAATGGGAGTTAAGAACTCGGAAGGTCCCGTAATAGGAGAGATCGTGATGGTAGGCGTGTTCAAACGAGGCAACCACTTGTTTTTTGAACCGTCTTCAAATTCACGGAACAAAATTCCTTTCGGTCATGTATCCGATCTAAGACCAGCTTCGCGTAGTTTGGGATCCATTCCGACTTTGTACGAGATGAAGCTCATACGGCTGATGTCGGATCCTTTTTTGACTAGCGGCACAACCTTAATCGGATCTTCGCACTGTACACAACCTTTCACCAGCTTCTCGATTGATTCCGATTTCACGCTAGGATGAATACGAGAAAGGTACAGCCAAAACAGCTCGGTGGGTTCAGGGACAGTAAGGACCTCGGTAAAGGCATTGTCGCCTGTTACTGCTTTAGAATCACCAACAAGTGGTTTGCTAGTGAGCGAGCCTTCATCGCGGCGCCGTTTTAATGGCGGTTGACGCATGAAATCAGAATTTGTTGGAGTTGTCAATACGATTTGTTTCGATAGCTGAGCGATCTGCTGTTCTTGCTTAGCCATTTCCTTCCTAAGTTCAGCGTGTGCGATTTCCTGTTTCTCGGTGATAGAATTAATCACACTGCCAAACGACAAGACGGCAGTTTTGAACCAAGCACATTTCATCAGCTTCGCGCACTCGTACACATCCAAAACAGGTTCGGGCTAGTGTGGACAATGTTCAGAAAAGCCTTATTCAGCTTTGTGCCGCTGCACTTTAGGTGAATCATCCTGTCGCAAAAAGCCATGCAGGAGACGGATTATGCATCGCCTTCAACTGGTTTAGCGCATTGGTCACAGGCGGAAGCCATGCTGACTCAGTTTCCAAAAGTGATTTAGAAACAGTGGTGGAGATGCTCTAATACACAAAGAGGAATAATTCAAATTTTCATTACGTCGAATGTAACAAAGGTAAACAAAGTCGAGCTATCAATGTCAATCGATTCTCCTGCTATTACACTATATACTGTCCGAATATAGGATCAAATCCAATTTTTAAATATATTTGCCAGTCAAATTGCTTTTTGACGTAATCACCTTCCGATCAAAATAGTTTTCGATGTTACTTAAGTCACCCAATTTCTATGGAAATGCCGTTTGACTTAAGTAACAGCGCTGAGAAACCCGTGAAAAGTGTACGTTCGTCGTTTCGCTTTCTCATTATTAAAGTGAATAAATCGAACTGTTTGTTGCTAAGATGATTTCGGTAGTCCTAAAATGATGAATGGGCTGCACGTAAGGAGACGTAATTGATAATTCTCCCAAATATTCTGGTAAATACACTTTGACTTAAGTAACAATAGGGGCCACCAAACGACGTATAATAACTTTTGACTCAAAAACCAGTATTTTTTAGCATGAAAGCTAGCGATTTGCATTTGTATGATTAAAACCCTGCTAAATATGTTAAACATTGCTATCACTATGAGATTATATGTGTTTACTTGGACATAGGAATAACTTTTCGGTCATCAAAACAAAACTTTATTTTTCTCGGGTTGGTGCGAATGTTACTTACGACATAATGAAAATTTGCTCTTGAATTGATCACTTTGTCAAGCAGTTTTGCCGTGACTTTCTACCAGCGATTTCACAAAACTGGACCAACTAATTTCTATTTTTTTTATGAAACGCACAAATGTTGGCTACTTTTCTCGAGGTTCTAGAAGAAAAAATCTTAAAATAATGTTTTATTTCAAAGTTCGAGTGGTAGTAAACGTCATTTTAAATGCTCGAATGATGTGGTTAATTGGATTCTCAAGATCGCCCAATGCTAGTCTGATGCTAGTCGACAATAACACAACAGTATACGCTACAATATGTCCGATTGGATAACTTTTTCACTGTTTTCACAGCACAAAATATGCTCTAATTAGACGATTATCGCAACGAACTGCACTTTCCACTAACAACCAGTACAATATTGCAAGTATACCGAACGGAAAAAAACGGCAAATTTAGCAGCGCAAAATCACGACGATGTGAATAACAACAACTCTCGCGTCGACCACTTTCGAGTGTCGGGCAAACTTGAGACTTATAGAAAACTTGAGGGGTATTGTGCAAATTTTTAAGAAGTTCTAAGCACTTCAAAAAAGTTAGATCTAGAGATCTTTGGAGAATTTCAGATCTTAAGAGCAGTTCCCGCAACGTTAGTTCAGACTTTAGAAGCAGTTTAAAGAAAAAGAAAATCCATGATCTGCTGAAAAAAAAAATCGAGAACCCTTAATATGTTCGGAAAATTTCAGGGAAGTACAGAGACCTTCACAGAAATTATGAAAACTTTAGCAATATTGCAGGAACTTCACAGAAGTCCAGAGAATTTCAGGGAAATTTAAAGGTGTTTACGGGAATTCTATTTATTTCCTAGCAGAACCGATATCTTCAACAGAATTGAGAGCTTTAGGGAAGCTTCGAGAACATCAAGACAGATCAAAGAATCAAAGGGCAGTTCAAATAATTTCAAGGAAGTTGTAGAAACCTTAAAGAAGAAGCTCGCTATTCTAATATCTATATGCAATCTTCACACTGCCGTACTCTAACGGAACTATCAACTCTATGCTTTCATCTACTCCATCTATCGTATAAAAATTACCACTACAGTCTGTTATTTGAAATTAGCATCTTCAACTATGTAAATCGTTGACTTCACGTAGAAGTAATACTAAAACATATAGTCAAAGTTAAAGAAGTTATTATTTGTATTGTATTTCTTATATATTATATTAAATTATTATTATTAAATATATAAAAATATATTTAATAACACCGGGAAAGTCTAGACTATTGAAGAAGTTTTAAATAAGTGTCGATAATTTAATGGTAGTTTCATGAACTTCAGAAAAAAATTGAAAACTTCATAGAACTGTATTATTTATTTCGTTCTAATTCCATAAAAATTGCGGGAGCACAAATTTAGAAAAACTTTGAAAACTTCACAGAAGGACAGTGATCTTCAGAAACATTTCGAGAACTTCATAGATATCTATGGAACCTGAGGGAAGATCCGCGAACTTCAGGAATTTTTATGAACATTATCAAAATGCGGGAGTATTTCAAAGAAGTTTAGTAAGCTCCGAAAACTGGAAGAATTTCAGGGGGAGGTCAGTTCCAGTAGTGAGAAATTTAAAGCAGTTACCAGATTTTCAGATAACTACAGAGACGTTAAAAAGTTAGTTGAGGTCTTCGCAGAAGTTCACGCAAGCTTAAACATTTTTGGGGACAGTTCATTTAAATTCAGTGCAGTACAACAAGCTTCATGAGAACTGAAAAAAAAACTTTAGATAAGTTATGAGAAATTCAGAAAAGCATAGAGAACCTCAGAGCAGTTCCGTTAACATTAGAGAAGTCACATAAATTTTAAAGAAGTTGAAAGAACTCCAGCAAATTGTCCTGGAGTTATTCTCAGATTTAATTGTAATCCTGCGGGAGAGATCGAAATATGTTGAAGGGGAGATGAATGACTGTACTAAGAGTTAAAAGTTAAGTCCGTTTAAATAAATTGAGATACCTACAGCACATCGAGATATGGAGAGTTGTTTGTAGTCACTTTAACCATTTTTATAGTCTGTGACAACACTGCCAACAAGTTTTAAACATGAAAAAAATCAAGCAGTTTTCCATTGGCTTGCAAAACGAAGTCGATAGACTCCGCAGTACCCAGATCTCAACCACCCACACTCTTTCTTTCAGAAACCGAGGACGCCCAATCGATCTCGCCTATGCATGACATTCCGCTGTACGCCAACGATGCCAAAACGGTGTTCAACATGGTTGTAGAGGTACCTCGCTGGACCAACGCCAAGATGGAAATCTCTCTGGGCGATCCTCTGAACCCCATCAAGCAGGACGTCAAGAAAGGCAAGTTACGGTTCGTAGCCAACTGCTTCCCTCACCACGGATACATCTGGAACTACGGAGCACTACCGCAAACGTGGGAAAATCCCGACCATCTGGACCCGAACACCGGTTGCAAGGGTGACAACGATCCAATCGATGTGTTGGAAATCGGCTCTCGTGTGGCCAAGCGCGGTGAGGTTGTCCAGGTTAAGATCCTCGGAACGGTCGCCTTGATTGACGAGGGTGAAACCGACTGGAAGATTATCTCAATCGATGTGAACGATCCGGTCGCTGATCAGCTGAACGACATCAATGATGTGGATAAGGTGTTTCCGGGATTGCTCAAAGCCACGGTTGAATGGTTCAAGATTTACAAGATTCCGGACGGCAAACCGGAGAACCAGTTTGCATTCAACGGAGAGGCTAAGGATGCTGCTTTTGCGACCAAGGTAGTTGAGGAAACCCACAAATTCTGGGAAACATTGATCAATAAGACAGTGGAAGTTATCGGCATCTCTTGGTACGGTCTATTTCGGCTTATTTTAATAATATTAATAATGTTAATGCTTCTTACAACAGTTTGAACACGATGGTTGAGGGATCTCCCTATCTGGTGGCCGCTGATGCTGCCGAAGAGCTGTTGACTAAGAGCTCCAATGAAGGAAAGTCCGAGCCCCACAGCGATGTCAGTAAGTACCATTCGTTATTTTTTTGTACACGGTTATGGTTTCCAGTTCCTATTATGTTTTGCTCGCTTCTACTGCTTCACCTTCCGCCATTCAATGATTTTGTTTTCCCTTCCATTTCCCGCAACTGTTGTAGTTTACAAGTGGCACTTCCGCGAAGAGAATTCCTATTCAAAGTTGTAGTTCTGCGTTATCATCTCCCCGACGAGACCACGCATTCCCACTAATGTACGTTGGAACAAACGAACCGCAATTGACGTCTCCACGCTGCTTACCGTAGAATTATGTAATATTTATTTCATCGTGACTTTTCGGTGGATATGGTCTAGAAAAGGTTGATTATCTGTTAATTTTAATAGCTCGGTTTAATTTAGTAGTGCAAGTAAATCAACGACCTGAATGCTTTTATGAATTTGTTCGTTTTGAATTGCATGGATTATCCGAACAACAGTCCCTTGCATTACTTTAATTGCATTGAATGTACACTATTTTTCAATCTGAATAACTTCACTCTCGCTTCTTTACAGTTGACAAATGGCATTACATTACCCTGAAGTAAGGCAGAACCGCACTCGTCGGCGTTACCAAACAATTAAGCCAGAAAAGTATGAAAATTAATATCTAGAAGATTTAACATGAACAACAAAACATATGATGAAAAGCATTTAAAATAAAAGCACTCGAAACTAGCAATAGTTTTAATTTAAAATTAATGACAATCACAGAGGACAGTCCAAAACGCAAAATAGTTCTAACACTGTCTATTGGATAACATTAAACGTGCTGGTTACAAACATCAAACGAAAAGGTTGCGAGTTGTACTTATGACAGACATGATTTTAGTACCGTTGTACCAACCGGTAGAAACTGACGATTTTAAATTGGCTCACTACTTGACTAGCCTATTGGTAGCAATCAAATCGATTAACGTGCCCTATTCTAGTCGAAATTCTAGTACTACGCAATGTTTGTTTTGATTCGCTATGAAAGTTTGACCGATAAAATGAGGGGCTTGTGGGTTTTCCTATGTTTCGAGGGGTGCAACGATTAGCTTGCGATCGAAGAGAGTACCAAAGTTGAGCACGTTTCTTCGGGTTCTCTGGTCTTAGAATAACCTCAATAGTTGTACGATAGTTTCAAGTAAATGACCCAAGGAATCCGGAAACTCTCAGGAACCATGTGTCTTCTATTGATTGGGGTCTCAAATTTCTCAACAACTGTTACCTTGTTCAAAAACCGTATCGGATATCGATTTCTGATCACTTCATGTTGTTCCTGTTCCGGAAATATTCAAACTTAAAATCATAATCTTTCTAGATAATTCCTAAAATAGAGCTAAGGTCTTACTTATTATTGCTTATGCCACATAGTGAGAAAATTTTAAACTTATATGTCTAGCACCTGGCCATGGTCATGAGAACAACTTTACATACACTAATTTGAGATATGCACCCCTATTCTGTATTTCGTTTCGAACGAAATTCTCATACAAAAAAATATTTTTTTGTATGAGAATTTCGTTCGAAACGAAATACAGAATAGGGGTGATGGTCAATATAAAACTTATCGATTTCCTTGGGAATAGAGTATGATTATGCTTGCCACACAATATACGAATGCAAACATGGTGCAGGCTAAGAAAGCTCAATTAACAACATTGGAAGTGCTCAAAGAACACTAAGGCGAGGTTTTTTTTTTTTTCCTTTATTATAGAGATTTTTAGCCATAGGCTAGTTCATCTCTTAAAACACTAAGGTGAGGGGGCAAAGGGGAACAAGTTATTATGATCCATTCTCTTCATCGACTTTCGCTTTTGATAATCACGGCTTTACCAACCAATTTCCGCTACATAGTTTGATAAAGGAGGTTATCATCTGTACATGACATGGATAGGATTTGTATCAAGGAGTACGTTTACCGCTGAATTATTAACGAAAGACATAGTCGATGAAGAGAATCAATCAAAATCAATTGCACCCCTTTACCTTTAACCCCCTCAGTTGTGAGCAAGCGTAAGGTTCAGGTTGGAGCATAATAGCCAAAGAATAAAAAGAGGAAGATTACATTTTTTTCTTTAAACAAATTGCATGAAGCAAGTTTGCATAACTGTGGCTACTCAATTAGAATATCTAATGAATCATAAAATTAATAGATAAATGCAGAAAGGACCCCTTGAAATGTTAATCTAGATATATCCAGTATAACTACTGGAACTAGGTGGAACTAACGATTTCAAAGATTGTACGACTTTTCTCCGAAAACCAGTTCCCCGAAAACACTTTCCTCGAAAGTTTTATCCGCGGAATACGATTCCCCGAATGAACCAGTTCCCCGAAAGGAACGTTTTCCCGAAAACTATTTCCCCGAAAGAACTAGTTCCCCGAAAGATACAATTTACACTGTGCGATCTATTTAAATATGATCCTTGGGTTTGTTACAACTTATCTATATGAAATTGAGAAAAATATCTTTGCTGAATATTGATAAACAGAACAAAATCGTTCAACACCCTAGATAAAGTTTGTGGTTATGACATTTGGCGGTTTATCAAATTGATATCTGATTATAATGAGCATAAAGACTGAGCTTTGATATAAAGAAGGGAAAATTGTGTCAGTTTCATCAAATCTTTCGCTGGTTAACTACTTGTATCGAGCAATACCACAATACACATATCAATGTGTGTCGAATTAAAGTGGACTCTACACGACTGTTTGTATTGACAATAATCGTATTGTCAATGCATTTTATATTGACGTCAATACATCGGTATTGACAATATATCTGTATTCACATCATCAATATTATTGTCAATACTTTTAAGTATTGACAATATTTCTTACCGTGTGGGGTTCGCTTAAGACAATAGTTTGACTTTCGTTAAAACTACATGTAAAGGTCACACACTAAGATTATTTCACCGAAATCTGTGAAATTTTACCGAAATCTCAACAGCTGAACGTTCAGTAAACAGTTCGGTGATTTTTCACAGATTTCCTGTAATTTTTTACCGAATATTCTGAAATCGGCGTATGGTGTTTTCTTTTTGCTCCATACAATTTTGGATTCAGCCTATAAGGAGTCGCAAAGTGACTATAGCATGTATTGCATGGGGACGCATGGTATCTTTTATTTATTAGTATGGAGTTTTTTAACGTTCGTACCTATCCAACACACACACACACACACACACACACACACACACACACACACACACACACACACACACACACACACACACACACACACACACACACACACACACACACACACACACACACACACACACACACACACATACATTTTATGCAATTAGCTCCATGGAACATACCAAGTTATACGTCAAATAATCAACTAAGATAAAAAGAAGGAAACATTCTTGCAACAAACAAAATTTTCCCTTCTTTGTATCACAGCTCGTTCTTTAAAGTTTTGAAGAATAAATATCTTACTAATTTATAAAACTGATATCTAATCGTAATCAAATAAAAAAAAAACGAGCCGTTAGGGGCCATACATTAATTATGTCACGCGAAATTGAGGCAAAATTAATCAATCACAGATTTCTACACGTCCCTCCTTAGGGCGTGACATAATTTGTACATCACCCCTTATACAAAGAAGAAAAATCGTTGTTTGTTTCAAGAAATGTTCCTTCTTTGTAGCACAGCTCGTTTCTTAACGTATCGCATAATATCTACCCTAATAAAAATGTTATGGTTAATTTACTTAACGACGTGTATCATCCAAAGCATTTGTGGAATAGTTCACACATTTGGGTTATCGTTCGTTTATGGTAATTTTTTATTGGGGTATCTAATTGGTTTTATCAAAGAGATATCATTTTCCTTTCTTTGTATCACGGCTCGTTCTTCAATTTTATTACAATGAGATATCGCTTTGATAAATTAGTAATATATTTATTTTTCAAAACGTTAAAGAACGAGCTGTGATACAAAGAAGGGAAAATTTTGCTTGTAGCAAGAAATTTTTCTTCTTTGAATCATAGTTCATTCTTTGACGTATAATATGGTATGATCCATGGAGCTAATTGCATACAATGTGTGTGTTTGTTTGATAGGTACGACCGTTAAAAAAAAAACTCCATACAAACAAAGAAAAGATATCATGCGTCCCCATGCCATACATATTAGTCACATGGCGACTCCTTATAGGGTGAATCTAAAATTGTATGGAGCACGAAGAAATCAATATGTGTTGAATAAAGACAAAAGTTTGACTTTCGTTAAAACTACATGGAAAGGTCAAAAGCTGCTGAAATAGGATTACACCGATTTCAGGAGCTTGACCTTTACATTTTGTTTTAACGAAAGTCAAACTATTGTCTTTATTCGACGCACATTAATATGTTTATTGTTGGAGGCGAACCAGCCTAAGGCTGAAAGCCTCCTAAATAAAGCTAAATAATAATAATAATATGTTTATTGTGGTATTGTTCGATACAAGAAGTTAACCAGCGAAGATGCGCAGATTCGGGGATATGGTACATTCGGGGAAATTATTTTCTGGGAACTGTGCCATTCGGGGAAAAGTTACATTCGGGGCAGTAACTTTCGGGGAAAGTGTTTTCGGGGGACTGGTTTTCGGGGAAAAGTCGTACAATCATTTCAAATTGGTTCACTACTTGACTAGCCCATTGGTCCCAAGCAAATCGATTAACGTACCCCAGTCCAGTCGAAATTCTAGTACCACACAATGTTTAGCTTCGCTATGAAAGTTTGACAGCAAAAATGAGGGACTCGTGGATTTTCCTATTTTTCGAGGGCTGCATCGATTAGCTTGGGACCGAGATAAAGGGCGAACACGAAATTATTGCGACACCGAAAATGTCATGCCAATTTTCTTATAATGTTTAGAATCAAACCAAAATTTTAGGGTAGTTTTATACATATATTTACTTCAAAAATCAAAAGAAAAGTTAATCGATGGAGCCTTGAGTGTTAAATTGAAGGCATTTTCGCTTGATGCCCTCCATCAAAGTCTTTACAGTGTCATCCGGTACTAGTTTCTCAGTTTTTTTTTTTCCATTTTCTTAACATGTCCTTCTCGTCTTTGACTGTCTTCTTGCTCTTCCGAAGTTCCCGCTTCATTATTGCCCAGTACTGCTCCACCGGGCGCAGCTCCGGACAGTTTGGCGGATTCATGTACTTTGGAACAAAATGGACAGAATTGGCCTCATACCACTCCAGGACACTTTTAGAATAGTGGCATGATGCCAAATCTGGCCAAAATAGCGAAGCTTCGTCGTGCTGCTGCAAGAACGGCAAAAGGCGCTTCTCGAGGCACTCAGATTTGTAGATCTCGCCATTTACTGTGCCCTTTGTCACGAAAGGCTCAATCCTCAGTCCGCAAGAGCAGATGGCCTGCCAAATGAGATATTTGGAGGCGAACTTCGACATTTTCTTCTTCTTAAATTTGTCGTCCACATCGAACTTGCTCTTGCCGGTGAAAAACTCCAACCCCGAAATTTGCTTAAAATCGGCTTTTATATACGTTTCGTCGTCCATCACACAGCAGCCATATTTTGTCAGCATCTTCTCGTAGAGCTTCCGTGCCCGAGTTTTAGCCGTCGATTGTTGCCGCTCATCGCGGTTTGGGAAGTTCTGTACCTTGTATGTATGTAGTCCAGCTCTCTTCTTTGCATTCTGGACGTAGCTCTGCGAAATGCCGATCTGTTTAGCCAAATCACTGCTGGAGACGTTGGGATTTGCTTTAATCATCCGCTTCACCTTTCCCTCCGTCTTTTTTGTTCTCCGGTCCCGGTTTTCTTCCAGCTCCTTTGCCGTGGTCCAACGTCAACCGCTCCTGGAACCGCTTCAACACTCTGGAGACGGTTGAATGGTGAATGTTCAACATTTTTCCCAACTGCCGGTGCGACAGGTCAGGAAATTCCAGGTGTTTGGAAAGAATTTGTTCTCTCAACTCGCGTTGGTTCACCTCCATTTTCGTTGAATCGAAAAACATGACTTCGAGTTTGACAGCATGTACACAATACACATCAATGAGAAAGTGTGCAAAATTTGGTTGATTTTTACCCAATGGTAAAAAAGTTATGCCCTGTTGAATGTGTCGCAATAATTTCGTGTTCGCCCTTTAGTACCAGAGCTGAGCCAAAAAGTTGAGCATGTTTATTCGGGAACTTCTGGTCTTAGAGTGGTGTTGTCGAAGCCAACAGCCTACACTGAAAAAAGCTTTCACTTAGTTTCTATTAGGAACGCACTTCATATTACCCAAACGAAGTGACAGACGACTAACTGGCGAAGAAATCCATTAAAATAATGTGGTTCACTGTAATAGAATTTTCTTGGAAGCTTGTGCCATCATCCACCAGATGGGTTAGTTTTTTTGTTTTGATTTGAACAAAGTTGATTTTGTGTACAATGATTCTTTGACAGTGTGCAATCATTTTGTATCATTTTGTCATTTTTTTATGCATTTCAGTCGAGTGAAAGAGATAGAACCAAAAAATTCTAATACATTTGGTGAAAATGCTAGTACAATCCAAAAAAAAAAAGTAGTAGTGTTTCCATGTGGTACAATCCAGTAGTAGTGGTGTTGCCATGTGGTACACTGAAAAATTGTAATAGCAGGTTAGTCACCAAAGTTTTCGAGCCGCTCCGTCTGTCACTTCGTTTGTGATATCACACTACATTCGTTCAACGATCTGGAAGAAACTATCATTCGTCTCCTTTCACTAGAGAGAGCGGTCAAGCACAATGATAAAATGATGAACTATTACAAAATTTTCTACCATAACTAACATCCTCTTTTCGAAAACATAGGTTTTGTTTTTGGAACGCAATCATCACCTAGTCAATTCGCAATTGGTGAACGCCAAGCGGACCGTTGCGTCGAAGATCCTATCGAGGAACCGAGGGCCACGGAAGATCAGCCAACGCATGATAATGTAACCCGTGAGGATGGAAGAGGTCAGCCAGCTACGAGTGGCCGTGGTCGAGCAACCAAACGAAATTATAGAAAAGTTTTCCTCGAAAAGCAGACCGACGATCACAGCAAGATGAAGCTGCATGTATCGGATTATGCTCGATATTCGCGTTAATCGTACGATTTACACAAGAAGCGGTTTGAGTTAGAAATGAAGCGTTTTCAGCTGGTCGAGGAGAACTTCAACTTCAACAAGCAAATGCTGCTCGAAAAGCAGAAGCATAAAAGTCAGCAGCTGCAATATCAGTTGCAGCTGCTTAAATATAAGAAGCAGAAACTCGATTTTGAGATGGGACGGAAAACAACTGGCAGTACTAATGCTGAAGATGAATACGAAGAAGCGGAACGGGACGACAGTGACGATGAGTAACTATCGATTTGAAATTGACTCACTACTTGACTAGCCTATTGGTCCCAAGCAAACGATTAACGTTGACAGATAAAATGAGGGGTTCGTGGATTTTCCCATGTTTCGAGGGGTGCATTGATTATCTTGGGACCAAAGATAGTACCAGAACTGAGCCAAAAGGTTGAGCACGTTTTTCGGGACCTATTAGCACAAACGAAGTGACAGACGGAGCGGCTCGAAAACTTTGGTGACTAACCTGCTATTGCAATTTTTCAGGGTACCACATGGCAACACCACTACTACTGGATTGTACCACATGGCAACCAAGCATGGGAAAATTCATTCACTCGCGCGAGTGCCACAGAATCAAAATAGCCATCCTCACCTACAAACAGATTGCCGAACGAGTGTAAATTCTTCCAACCAAGTGACACCGCAGGTCGACTCAGAACTGACAGCAGTAGAATAAAAGAAGGATAAACTGAAAGGCAGCCGAAAATTTTTCTCTACCGAGGGAGAACCAGATTGAATGCGTAAGATCCGAATGCTAACGATTTAAATAGCCGAGTCAGATAGGTTTTGGCTCACTGATTTAAATCAGTTGAATTGGCCACAGCAGTTTTACGGTATTTGCTTGACGCTTATGTTTATGTGTTACAGTATAACCGTTTTCTCCATATTAACAGCATTTTAAATGTGTCAATGTATGTTTAAGGCTAGAAAACAAAAGTGATTCTTTCTGCAAAATTCTCATTCAGCTCACTCAGCAGAATGCAATCGTAAAAGGCTCAGCATGGCAAAAATAATAAAAGAGAAATCATCCACACTACTACACTCAGAATCATTCATGTTACGCTCAGCTGTCTGTTTTGCTCAATCCTGCGTTCATCGAAGAAAATAGAAACAATGCGAATACGAACGAAATCAGTGCGGCTCGCACAAGCTGCTGTTCGGTTCTGATGTTGTATACGTGTGAGTGAGTAGTGAATGCAAAATTAAACGATTTTTCCCATGCTTGATGGCAACACTACTACCATAGAGGTAACTCTAATGGTGGTAAGCTCCAACTCGGATTAACTTTTAATACCGTCCCTGTTTGGATGATATACAAAATGTTTGCCTAGATTCGTGTTGATTAACTCTGACGTCAACATCAAAGTAGTCGAACATTCTTGATCAGGATTTAATCCGAGGATAATATCGGTTGGAGCTTACCACCATAAGACAAGTAGGTCCCGAAGAAACGTGCTCAACTTTTTGGCTCACCTCTGGTACTATCTTCGGTCCCAAGCTTGTCGAATCACCCCTCGAAACATAGGAAAAACCAATAACCCCTCATTTTATCTGTCAAACTTTCATAGCGAATCAAAACAAACATTGCGTAGTACTAGAATTTCGACTAGAATAGGGTACGTTAATCGTTTGCTTGGGACCAATAGGCTACTAAAGTGGTGAGCCAATTTAAAATCGTTAGTTTCGTATTGATTGTTGCTACTACTGGATTGAACTAGCATTTTCACCAAATGTACTAGAATGTTTTGGTTCTATCTATTTCACTCTACTCAAAACTGAAATGCATAAAAAAAATGACAAAATGATACGCACTCTTTGCACACTGTCAAAGAATCATTGTACACAAAATCAACTTTGTGCAAAACCAAAACAAAAATACTACCCATCTGGTGGATGATGGCACAAGCTTCTAAGAAAATTCTATTACAGCGATCCACATTATTTTAATTGATTTCTTCGCCAGTTAGTCGTCTGTCACTTCGTTTGTGCTATTAGTCTTAGAGTTACCTCTATGATACAACTTTGGACATTATAGATTCAATTGGCTGTCGTCCAGAAAACTTTAGAGGTTTCCTTATTTTCCATGCGTGTTACATACATTTAAAAACTGTTGAAATCATGAAACACTAAGTTGCAGACATAACGGCGCCGGTGGTGTAGTGGTAAGCGTGATTACCTCTCATCCCAACAGGCCTGGGTTCAATCCCCGTCGGCGCCGCCGGGATCTTCTGAGGCATAACATCTCTGATCACGCCTTCCTTCGGATGGGAAGTAAAGGCGTTGGCCCCCGGTTCATGAGTTGATGGGTCGATAGGTAGGGTCCAGGTGTGGGAGCTGCCTTCCTGGCACGTCGGTAGCATTGGTGCTCAGCACGGAAAACAAGATCGACGGAAAAAAACAAACCAAAGGAAAAAAAAAAAATAAATAAGTTGCAGACAAAACAAAATTTTTTGACATATTTTCCACTAAGAAGAAGGAATCTTGACAGTATTTCAATACGCTCAATAACTCTATTCTTACCGAGTAACCAGGAGTTCCTCTCCCTATTGTCGAATCTTTGTAAACGCAACTAACTCAGCGAATTGCCATTCCATACAAAAGAGTCGTGGGAGGAGCCCGGGTGGTTGGCATCGAGATACCGAATCATAAAGTTATGATCACAAACCTGTAAATTTTACAAATATTTGCATGAGTAAAATTAATGAGATCTAACACCTTGCATCTACTTTACCAACATAACATTCAGACTGTAAAAGCCTTTACGGTTGTAAAACAGGTGTTTATCGTGAGCCGGAGGGATGATGCGTGGGTTCCATCTACGCATTCGATTACTCCTGGAAATCCAGTTTTCTCGTAGAAACCCAGTTTAATCGCATTTGTTTCTCTTTCTTCGAATGGAAACTGGATTACAGCTGGGCACACTTCAGTTTCAATAATGTCCAACAGAAGTTGCAGCACTTAAGACCACAAACGAAGTGACAGACGACTAACTGGCGAAGAAATCAATTAAAATAATGTGGTTCGCTGTAATAGAATTTTCTTAGAAGCTTGTGCCATCAGCCACCAGATGGGCTAGTTTTTTTGTTTTGATTTGAACATAGTTGATTTTGTGTGCAATATGATCTTTGACAGTGTGCAAAGAGTGTACCATTTTGTAATTTTTTTTATGCATTTCAGTTTAGAGTAGAGTGAAAGAGATAGCACCAAAACGTTCTAGTTCAATTGGTGAAAATGCTAGTTCAATCCAGTAGTAGTGTTGCCATGTGGTACAGTCCAGTAGAAGTGGTGTTGCCATGTGGTACACTGAAAAATTGCAATAGCAGGTTAGTCACCAAAGTTTTCGAGCCGCTCCGTCTGTCACTTCGTTTGTGTTTAAAACGCTGTCCAGACTGGAGAGTTATAACATGTTATAACGGTTGTCAACTAATTTCAACACAGAAACCACCATCAAGATAGCGCTATAACATGTTATAACTCTGTAGTCTGAACGTACTATAAGACATCGTTGGTTGTGCCAATCCGATAAATCTATCGTTACCTACGCCCTTCTGGTACACTCAAAAGATTTTCAAATCTAAATAGATTAAAAGTTACGCTAAATCGCAACTCTCCTGACCGACGCATAGATTGGTATAAAGGGAGAGAAAACTGACTTAGTATAAAAATGCTTTATGCAGTCAAATGTATAAAGTGCGAATATTCAAATGATGCATAAATGCGATTTATTCCGAGGGGGACGACACATCTAAATCTCAATTTTAGATGCTCAAAAAATCTCACACTAGCGAATCAATCTTCGAAAAATCTTCTTGCATTTCTCGCATCTACTTGCATCGCGCATCATCTTTTTGCAGGAAATCTTCAGAATTTTCATCAATCTTCTTTCTATCTACTCAGCGTGCGAGCAGCTAGCCATAGCACAACACAATCTTTCCTGCAGCGTAGATAGAGTCGTCGCCCTCGATTTATTCCATGAATAGTATTTTTATAAGCTCGTCAGTGATATTTCCAATGTTATTAATTTTAAACATAATAATAATGTTACAGGAGCAAATTTATTGTCAATTATTATTTATCACAATAAATCATATAACATAAACTGGATTAATTAATAATGATATGCAGAAAATTCGAACCGATAAATAAGTGCAATAGTGGGTATCCAAAATGTTATCTATGTGGTTTCCGTGGGCATTGAGATGTGGCAACTTGGATCAGCTGCTATCCGGTGATTCCTCGTGTTGATCGTTTCCATAAGATTGATATTGACAGGACAGCCGAGTCTCCTAGCAAAATCTACACTGCACATCCATCAAAGGGGCAAACAATCGCTGGCCTATGGCGATTTCAAAACTGTAGTCTCACGCTTCCGAAATTGTTCAAACGGTCTGATATCAATCCGCGCCAGTTTCGTTCAAGTTCGGAGTGTCTTTATAGTTAACCCCCTACTGTCCAACATGCGGAAGAAATTGACCGTGATGGTGTAAACCGAATGGCGCTAGCGAGTGATCGGATTCAGGTTCATATTTTTTGGCGTTGTAACCGGCCTGGAAAGAGAGGATGTTTGGATCTAGTTTAGAGTTGGCACTTGGCAAGCGAAACTGTTCAAATTCACCTTACCAGCAGTTCTTCACCGTTTCAAAACCCGTCATCTTCATTCGGTGCCACGAAGGTCCTAAGCTTGCAAACATGGTGCAATTGAATTTTGGAGATTGTGGTACTTGGGCTTATTTGCTTGCCAACGTTGCTTGAAGCTAAAAACAAAATTATTATTCAAATATTCTTCTCAAATCTTAACTGATTCAATTCTTCAATACTTACTAAAGCTTTGTTTACTCCTTGGTGAACTATGGATAAAGACAAGGACAGGAATTCCTATTCCTGATTGTCAACATATCCTGCAGCGTGTGAAGCTCGACGAGAGGGCTGGAACGATAATGGAGTCTTTCCAAAACAGTTTTCGTCCTTCAGCACTTTTAATTTTTGTACAGCTTTGCTGTCAGCGGTATACACTGATCGAATTCTTTGCCAGTAGTCGGACTTAGTATAATTTTGATAAAATAAAATAATCGAATCAATGTATAAACATTGGTTATGCATAAAATGATTAAATTTTAATCTTTCTTATTTTAGTAATATTTTTGAGTGTAGTTGCCTTCTGCAAAAAACCTCAACGAAGCTGCCAGCATGATCATTGGAGGCACTGACGTGGACAGTTGTACCATAGAGGTAACTCTAAGACCACTGGGTCCCGAAGAAAATCATTATTATTTTTGGCTCACTCAGTACCAGAACAACGGTCCCAAGCAGTCCCAAGCTATTTCACTCACCCCTGCATGTTCTGCATGAATCCACACACCCCTGATGTTATCTGTCAAACTGTCATAGCGAATCAAAACAAACATAGTGCAGTAATAGAATTTCAACTAGAATAGGGTACGTTAATCGTTTGCTTGGGACCAATAGGCTACTAAAGTGGTGAGCCAATTTAAAATCGTTAGTTTCGTATTGATTGTTGGTTGTACCACAAACGAAGTTACAGACGACTAACTGGGCGAAGAAATCAATTAAAATAATGTGGTTCGCTGTGATAGAATATTCTTAGAAGCTTATGCCATCAGCCTTCAGATGGGCTGGTATTTTTGTTTTGATTTGAACATAGTTGACTTTGTGTGCAATATGATCTTTGACAGTGTGCAAGGAGTGAATCATTTTGTCATTTGTTATGTAGAGTGAAAGAGATAGAACCAAAACATTCTAGTACATTTAGTGTTGCCATGTGGTACAATCCATTAGTAGTGTTGCCATGTGGTACAATCCAGTAGTAGTGGTGTTGCCATGTGGTACACTGAAAAATTGCAATAGCAGGTGCGTCACCAAAGTTTTCGAGCCGCTCCGTCTGTCACTTCGTTTGTGGTTGTACCATAGAGGTAACTCTAAGACTAGAAGGTCCCGAAATAACGTACTCAACTTTTTGGCTCAGCTCTGGTACTCTCTTCGGTCCCAAGCTAATCGATTCACCACTCGAAACACAGGAAAATCCACTAACCCCTCATTTTATCTGTCAAACTTTCATAACGAATCAAAACAAACATTGTGTAGTAGTAGAATTTCGACTAGAATGGGGTACGTTAATCGTTTGCTTGGGACCAATAGGCTAGTCAAGGAGTGAACCAATTTAAAATCGTTAGTTTCGTATTGATTGTTGGTTGTACTGGATTGATTTTTGCATCGATTATATCCAGTAGGTATTTGAAAATCTCCTTGGATACTCTGAAGAATTGAATGAAACTGCCCGAAAAAAAAATTACAGTGAAATTTTCAGTGGAAACAATGCTCTAACATTAATTTTTATTGTCGACAATAAAAATGATTGTTATAATGTTGTACCCTTCCGAAAACGGCAAAACTGCTACCTAGCTGTACAATGAATGTACATAATAAAATGTTGTTACAGTGATTTTTATTGTATTTTTCATTTATTTTAGTGTTAACATGATTCGATCACGAACAATAATGAACAACTCTATTACAATAAAAATTGTTGTTACATTAAATATTGGTGTGTTTTTATTGTGGGTTACTTCACGAACAATAAAAATAAATCTGATTGAAGCATGCAGACTATGAGAGGGTCAGCAACACTGCCAATGTAATCAAGATAGGCGCTGCTCGTATGGCTCCCCTAATAAAAATTGTATGGTTAATTTGCTTAACGACGTGTTCTGGGTATCATCCAAACCATTTGTGGAATAGTTCAATGATTTGGGTTATCGTTCGTTTATGGTTATTTTTTATTAGGGTCTTGCTTTGACAGTTCGTTTGGCTCTATTCGTTGCCAAGTCAATTGAACGCCTATGACCAGATCGGTTTGAGTTGAACTCAACTCTCCTGCCTCATCTAAATCTCGCTTAATGCAGACCTTTTCCGTGCAGTCAATAATCATACAATAATAATAAAAAAATCCACCACTTGAAGATGTCAGGAAATAACTCTCAGGTGGAAGCATATTTCATGGGCGATTCTCCCCAGTTGAATGCATTAACTTATCAACGACGCTCAACCACCAAGAAGACGTGACCTAGAGAGATCGAGTGCAGGGGAGTTGACCTCCATTTCTCACAAGTTCCGGATCGAATCTCAATCCATAACCAGTAAAAAAAGGACTCACCCGTAACAGACATACCACCCCCTTACCTTCCCGAAGCGATGTTTTATTTTTTCGATTTATTTTTAAAGTCGATAAAGTAGATCTGTCAAGCCAACACATACACTCTAAAGTACACTGTTATTTTTTTTAATCAATAAATTCGCCAACCAACAGTAAAATAACAATAATATATAATGTTATTGAAAAAAAATTATATGGGGAAATCACGAAAATTTCATTGTTAAGATACTTAACAACCCCCCTTTTTTATTGTAAATTTTCCATTTACCATGAAATTTGCTGTTTTGTACAACATAAATCAAGGTAAAATTATTGTAGACGTACCAATATAAATCATTGTTAAGACAATAATTTTCGTCTTATTGTCACATTGTTTTTTATTGTATTTTTGTTGTTATTTTTTTTCGGGTGGAAAACGTATGTGAAGTATGTAAGCACAGACAAACAGACGTAACACTTTGAAAAAGTTTTTCTTGAAAACATAGTACCTCAAAACATAGGACCTCAGTAACGACATCTCTCGGGCTTCTCGCGGAAAACAAGCTTGCTCGCTACCTCGCATACAATATTGCATACAAGTTTTATCAAATGTAAAGAAACGTCAAAGCGATCCGATGCCAGCGCTGCGGCGAGTAGTTCGCGAAACTTATTATATTCAAATCAACCGTTAAATGCGTGAACGAAGATACACAATGAAGAGTTACGTCTGTTTGTCTGTGATGTAAGTTTCGATATACACGTTCAAATTTTAGCTAGTAATCTGTTTCCATATACTTACGATTTTTCGGTTTGATCCAACGGATTAGAATTATCCCTTATCCGCGTTCGATCTACAGCAAGATTGGAATATTCCTCCTCGTCTTCACTGTCGGTATCAAACCATAATTCCACACCCATTTTCAAAAAAAAAAACTACATGCAAGGAAATTTCCGTCGATTTTCAAAACAAAACAGCAGATAAGCACGTGACAGTGCTTTGCAGTCGAATACGAACGTCACGAGAAATGAACAGGGCCATTCCGAACACCACCTAACTGTCACTGTCACTTCACGGAGTTCATTTTCATTACTTCGCTGTACGTGACAACGGTAATAGGTAAAAACAAGTGAAGTGATGTGTGCGTGAAGTGAAAGTGAACGTGGAAGTGAGAACCGTAATAAGGGCCATAGATTTCATTGGACACATAACGTTCATGTGATTTCGTGGTGCAATTTCCAATTATGGGATCACATGAAAGTTACATGAAATTCATATGGATATTTTCCACTGGTTGTGTGATTTATTTTATGAGTGTACGTCGTTTTTTTTTAACCGATGGCCGCCATCTTGGATCCCAAAATGTTTTTTTTTCCCTTGATTTGTTTTTCCGACGATCATGTTTTCCGTGCTAAGCACCAATGCTACCGACGCCAGCGGGGCAGCTCCCACACCTGGACCCTACCTATCGACCCATCAACTCATGAACCGGGGACTAACGGCTTTACTTCCCTTTCGAAGGAAGGCGTGATCAGAGATGTTATGCCTCAGAACACTCCGGCGGCGCCGACTGGGATTGAAGCCAGGCCTGCTGGGGTGAGAGGTAATCACGCTTACCACTTCTCTGAGGCAATTGGACATAAGAATTCCATAAGATCCACTAATGAATTTTAGCCACATGAAATCAGTATGAATTTCACTGATTTGCCTTATGAAAAATAATGTTGACAAAAAAATAATAAATTGGAGCAGACTGGAACCGAACCATAGCCGTTGAGATTACGAGGCCCGTGTGTTGACCACTCGTCTTTCAACGCTTGGGAAAATGAAATGGTTAAAAGCGTATAAGAGCTACCTCATGTCACCCGGGGCCTCCCTTAGCTCAGTCGGTAAAGGCGCAGCTACAAAGCAAGATCATGCTGGAGGTGGTTGGGTTCGATTCCCGGTCCGGTTTAGGAATGTTTCGGGTTGGAAAATGTCTCGACTTCCCTGGGCATAGAAGTATGATTGGACTTGCCACACAATTATACCAATGCAAAAATGGTACAGGCATCGAAAGCTCTCAATTAATAACTGTGGAAGTGCATCTAGAACACTAAGTTGAGAGCACGCAATAAGCTAACATGCGATATGCAATAAGCTTGAAATGCGAAGAAGAAGATGTCACCCGAAAATCTTTCATAAGTCACGCTTATGAAATTCATATGTGTTGGTCATAAGTCGAGCCTTATGAAATTCTAAAGTCTATTTGCCTCAGTGTACACAGCAAAAAAAGTTGTTGAATATTACATCGAAACTGCTGCAACCAGGTCAATCCATCGGTAGTGTAATATCACATTGTACAATGTACATCGATTTTGCGAACAAAATTACATCCATTGATGTAATATTGTATCTGCGTTTTGCTATTACATCATTATTTCATACATCAGCTTGAATTACGTTGATCGATATTACATTTTTTTTGCTGTGTATACACCAGCGGCGCCGCTGTTTCCAAAATGTTGTCTGGCATCGATTTTCTGCCTCTACACGTCGTTCCCTTTCCGGAAATACCCATATTGTACGGTATTTGAAAGTTTTTCTTGAACCGATGGACGTCATCTTGGATTCAAAAATACCGTCTGGCATCGATTTCCAGCCTCTACACCTCATCCCCTATCCGGAAATACCCATATTATTGGACATTTGACGAATTTTCTTGAACCAATGGCTGCCATCTTGGATTCCAAAATGACGTCTGGCATCGATTTCTGGCCTCTAAATGTCGTCCCCTTTTCTTATTGTAGGGTATTTGACAGTTTTTCTTGAACCTATGTTCGCCATATTGAATTCCAAAATTTAGTCTGGCATCGATTTCCAGCCTTTACACGTCATCCCCTATCCAGAAATACCCATAGTGTAGGGTATTTGACAGATTTTCTTGAACCGATGGCCACCATTCCAAAATGTCATCTGGCATCGATTTAGAAAAGTAGATCTCTTGATTGATGGTTCCCGTAGTTATGAAAATGTCGCTTTTTAGACCATACGTGCATATGGGCCTGCCAGACGAGATAATTTCTCAGGAACTTCGATAGTTTAATGGTTTTGAAAATTTCAGCTACCTACCCTTTTTTCTGATGCGGTATAAAACTCCTGTCCCGGAAGCTGCTTGAAATCCGCCTTCATACACAGTTCGAAAAAGTAGTGTAAATGTCTGTCACTATAATGCACATAAATGGAGCGTCACATATCATACAAATTCACATTACAGATCATGTACATTTATGAGTCATTTAATGAAATATTCTAAATATTGTATGCAACCATCCATCTTTGTAAGCAATATTTCTTGCAAGTTGGTAGTTTACGTGAAAAGGAAGTTTACATGCTTCAATTTTAGCATGCATGGATATTTACATCACCATTAAAATTCATAATTTTTTGGTGTGTAAGTTTCGTCGTCCATGACGACACAGTCGAACCAACAATCAATACGAAACTAACGATTTTAAATTGGCTCACCACTTTAGTAGCCTATTGGTCCCAAACAAATCGATTAACGTACCCCATTCTAGCCGGAATTCTAGTACTACACTATGTTTGTTTTGATCCGCTATGAAAGTTTGACAGATAAAATGAGGGGTTCGTGTATTTTCCTATGTCTCGAGGGGTGCATCGGTTAGCTTGGGACCGAAGATAGTACCAGAGCTGAGCCAAAAAGTTGAGCACGTTATTTCGGGACCTTCATGTCTTAGAGTTACCTCTATGGTCGAACTTTGTGAGCAGATTCGAATACAGCTTTCAGGACCGCTGCTTTGCCGACGTGTTTTGTTTGTAATCTCGGTTCGCCACCTTCACCTTCTTAAACGTCGACAACTCGTCTCGTTTCTTGGCCCTCTGCACAGTGGTATGGGAGACATTGAGCTTGCCAGCGTCGTCCCGGATGGATAGGTTATAATGCAATAAATTGTATCATGGGCACCTAAAGGGGGGCAACTTGTACGCAAGTGCGCCAGCAAATCCAACATTCTAGCAAATTGAATGCAAGTCTGCTCGCGCAAATGGTGTTATGATCGTTTTTTCTTTCGATTTAAATATATGGAATGCCTGTCTGATAAATACTATTGACAAAACTCCCATTACATCGAGGACAGTCTTCAGATTACTTTTGCATATTCACTTCATTCGATTAGGCCTGGGTTGTTGATAAATAGTTGAATATTCGTTAAATGGTATGAGAACTACTATTGAAAAAATCCCCAAGAAAGCGCCATTTAGGCCGATACCGACCGACACCATTGCATTGAGGACAGTCTTCGGATGACTTTTGCATATTCACTTTGTCCGCTTAGGCCTGGGTTGTTGATAAATAGTTGAATATTCGTAACAATTCCAATATATGATATGATAACTACTATTGAAAAAATCCCCTAGAAAGCGTCATTTAGGCCAATACCGACCGACACCATTTCATCGGGGACAGTCTTCAGATGACCTTGTGGCAGGAATAAGCACTAACCGAGGGTGATAAGTCTGTGACAGCCCTTGAAAATTTCAGTGATCGTTTGCTTTTGATTAATTTCAATGCAATTTCATACAAATTTCTTGATACAATGGATGAATCTTGTACAAAACGCATAAAACTATATAAAGAAAGAGAGAATTAATTCCACTATTTTTGCTTATCCTTGACAGATACGCGTATTTCGTCTACAATGTGCAGACTTCTTTCTTCAGTGTCTTGTACTAATACTCGAGTACTACAGTCGAGTATTAGCACAGAGAACAGATGTCCAAGCTCCGTCAGAAACTTGTGTAAAGATAAGTGGGAACATCGCAGTTACGTGGCGCTAGCATCTCCTGATTTCGTCCATAAATTTTCCACTTTTGGCCAATTTGGCGCTAGTGTCGATAAATTTTCTGTTGAAAATTGCCACTCGGCGCTACCGGCACTTAGTGTCTAGTGTAAGTTGTGCTACGCCAGCGCCATCATGCTGTCAAAGAGGGTTTTTCAGTGGGGAAGTCGGCGTTGGTGGCGCTTAAGTCGGATAGGAATTTTTACACAAGTTTTTACATAAATTTTGTTCGAGCCTCAACGTCTGTTCTCTGTGGTATTAGTACAAGACACTGAAGAAGTCTGCACATTGTAGACGAAATACGCGTATCTGTCAAGGATAAGCAAAAATAGTGGAATTAAATGGAAATTACTAATCCTTCTCTCTTTCTTTATACAGGTATTCCACTAAGACGCCCACATTCATCAAGACGCATAAAACTGTTTTGTAATGCATTTTTCCTAAATAAAAAGCTACTTCAAGACCTTGGATGATGTTTGTTTATTTGGAAGATTATTTTCGAAACAAAGCACTTTAAAATTCAGCTTTACATATAGCGCATTGCGCACATTATAAGTGCGACGAAAAGTGCGGAACCGAAGATAAAAGTGCGCTTTTACGTTAAATCGTGTTGATGTCTTCGGCGCACTTATGCTTTGGCTCATAACGAAAAAGTGCACAGAAGACAGCAAAATGATACAACGTAAAAGCGCCCTTTTTATCAGTGATTCCGCACTTTTGATGAGTCCAGTTAGAAATGCAAAATACAATACCATTATTAAGAGTACTACTTTTTTGCTCGGATCATGTTTTGATTTACACAGAAACTCGCTAGAATACATAGAAAATAATAATTTTGTGGTCTCAATTTCAAAAATGTATTCTGTTTGATCACAGAGAACAGACGTTGAGGCTCGAACAAAATTTATGTAAAAACTTGTGTAAAAATTCCTATTCGACTTAAGCACCACCAACGACAACTTCCCCACTTAAAAACCCTCTTTGAATGCATGATGGTGTACGGAGAAGGCTTGTTTCGTATAAATAAATGTCATACCTTTTGGTGTAACTTTTTTTTTCAAGGTTGTTCATGGAGGGTT